GTGTGTGTGAGAGAGAGAGAGAGAGAGAGACAGAGACAGAGACAGAGACAGAGACACAGAGAGAGGACAAGGTCTCCTGTAGCCCAGGCTGGCTTCGAACCTGCCATGCAGCTAAGGCTGGCCTTGGCTTCAGACTCCTCATTCTACTGCTTCCTCCAAGTGCTGGGATGACGGGCATGTGCCACCACACCTGCCACCTATTAGAAGTTCTGTCACATGTGTCACAAAATGACATATGATAAATAAGTTGGTCACTGGGTTGTAGAAATAGAAACTCTCAAGCTGAGAATTTGTGGTGGTGAGTAGGGACACCACCACCATGCTCAGTTCCTCCTCTTCTTCTGTTGGTGAGGGTACCATCCTGGCCTGCCCTGGCTGGCTCCACAGCTTCCAGAACTTGCAGGCAACTTTCTGAAATCTGTCACCTCCACTCCCAGGTTTTAGGGAAAGAAAGCTGCAGCTCCTGTCTCTGGGCAGTGCCACCTGCTTCCGGCGAGTGCCGTGCCATCCCTTACTTCTCGGGATGATTTTGTTGCTGTTGCTGGGCAGAGATGGCTCTCACATCTCAGCCAATCCGCAGCGCTCCATCGCTAGCTCCTCTCTGGAGCCTTCTGCATCCCCCACCGTCTATTCCTTCCATGAACTCACCCCTTATGACATGTCTTCGTGACATTTATGAGGACAAGGATTATTTCAGCTTGTCGTTGTTTTAAGTTGTTGTATGACTTCCTGGGCTGACATGAATAAACACCCGTCCCCCCAGATAAGGCACTGAGAAGCCAAGAGGTCATTCCACCCAAGTCTAGCTTGGTAAACCAATGGATTTGTTGCGTTTACTCACAGGGGCCTGGGTGACTGAAAGGCAGTGGCATCACTGGAAAGCTCCACCCCCAGCGTGGGTGACAAGTCATGCAGAGTGCATCCTGGGAGCTCCGTGCATGACTTACCGGCTGCCTTGGTAACCAGCAATTGTTACTGCTTTTGGAACCTAAGGAGGCGGGCCTGTGAGTCTTGTAACTTTCATGAGCTTCCTGAGCTTCTAAGTTTCCTGTCCTTCCTGAATCTTACCAGACTCCCTCCTCCCTCCAGGAGGGAATGTTTCAATTTAGAGCAAATAACCACATGACACCCGTGACACAGGCATTATAGTGTGTTGTCACCAGGGGGGATCAAAATGAGACCCATCAGCGGAGAAAGGGAAGCCTAGAAGCTGAGGAAAATTCCAGAAGCTTTTCTTTCAGATTCTGTATTCTTGGTAGAAGTTTTAGGCAGCAGCAGTCCATTTTCTGTAGAGAATGACAGAGACAATTCAACTGGAACCATCCAGCAGGCATTTCTTTAACTGAAAGCTAGCCCTGTGTGTTAGGTAAAAGCTCAGGGGCTCTCAGCTGGTTGACGTGGCATGCTGATGTGCTGTGACTCCTCATAGATGTGTTACCCAGCTCTGACAGGTCTGTAAGATTTAAGTTTGCTTTGAGAGCTGTGCTGTCAGTGACAGATCTGAGGCAGAAGTAGAAGTTGAACAGGTGCCAACCTGGAAGGCAGACCAGGGAGTAGCATGTGGCCAGGAAGAGAAGCAACACAGCAACCTGGCCAACCAGCAGGGAGTGAGAGCAGCCTTCACCTGCGATCTCAGGGAAGACCAAGGGTATTCTGACAGTCAGAGGAGCCGAACGGTCAGCCAAGGTGTAGGGAATGGCTGAATGTGCTTCAGAGACCCAGAAAACCATCACATTGTGGTAAGGCACTGTTGACTTTTTTTGTGCAAGTTTTTAGTCTTTTAATTACTCCATGTGTGCCACTAAAACCATGTCTTTAAAAAGGTGTGCACACCCACAGTTCACATCGAGAACCACAGAGTGGTGCGTTTACAATGTGAGGTATCTAGCAGGGCATGATGGTGCACGCCTCTAATCCCAGCATTCAGGAGGCAGAGGCAGGCGGATCTCTGTGAGTTTAAGGTCAGTCTGGTCTACATAGGGAGTTCCAGGACAGCTGGGGCTACAGGGACACCCTGTCTCAAGAAGACCAATAAATAAATTAAAATAAAATGAAAGGTATCTCTTTGTTCATTTTGCTTAACAGGTAGCCTATGTGAGCTTGAACCATAAATAAATGTCATCTTTTCCCTTTTTATCTGAGCTACAGAATATGGGAGAAAATTTATGGACTTTTAAATGATGATTTCCTCCCACTCTTTTCTCTTCCACAAGCTGGACTATGAGGTTCCTCCGTGGGTTTTTTTTTAATCATCATGTAAAATCACACCCTGTGCACACCCTGATACAGATAACACGACCATCAGGCCTCACTGAAAGGAACTTAAGTGAATTGCAGCCTGCTCGGCTCACCAAACACATTCCAAATTTTCTTCAGCTTCTGGTTACCTCATTTGTAATAGAACAAAGGACCACTAGACGGAGCTAGGGTTTAAGAAATCACAGCTCTAACCTGTGTGCCTTAGATGGCAGAATGCTAGCGGATGGAGAAGCTTGCCATCCCTTCCTGTCAGAGCCATGCCGGCCCTGCTAACAGAAGTCCTTGGATCCACACTAGCAGATGAAGGGCGGTGTTCTTAGCAACCCAATTTATTTAGTCCTCTAGTGACGACCTCTGACTTGACCCTTTCAAAGTCAGGCTGGCATCCCAGACCTCCCACGCTCTCCGCGAGTCTGACACATTGTTGGGAAGGAATCAGCTCTGTTTTCTGAGACCAAGAAATGGAGACGGTGTCTTTGCAACCTCTTACGGTGTTTCTTAGGGTGGTGAAGCCAGATGATGGAGGTTCTTGGGTCAATTTTGTTTTGGCATTGGTCTATGTATTTACTGTTGATCCATTCTGTAACCAGTCAACTGTAAACACATGGCTACTGCGGGCGTAGTCCTGGTCCCCAGCCACACCCTTGGGCATATATACCACAGGTACAGATGACGGGCAGTTGGAACCCTCCCCGCTTAAGTGAACAAAAAGAGGGTTGTTTGGGCCTCCGTCCAGAGCCTCGGGTCAATGTGATTTCTACCTAGGGACCTGTGGAAAGCTGGCACCTGCCGCACCTGTGTTCTCCAAACCATGGTTATAGCTGCTTAATTAATCCCCAGGGCACTTTGGGAAGTCCTCAGAGGCAGTGCAAGCTTTGACGCTGGTCAGCCGGTTTGTTCCTGTTTTCTACCCTTACACTTGGATCCTAAGAGTTTTCTTGGCAAAATGTTTGCTGGGTAAGAGGGGACCCCGACGGGGGTGGGGTGGGTGGGGGGAGCGACACTTATCAATGACTGCACGCATGCTGATGGCAAAGATAAGCCAAGACCGCTCCTGCGTCGCCGAATCTGCCAGTCACCCTGCAAGTCTCATCCTTTGGACGATTCCTGGGGAAGCCCTGCTAGTTCAGGCTGACCAGCCCTGCAGAAGGCCCTGTGCCCCGAGCCTGGGGGTTCTGACTTGGGCCCCAAAGCGAGCGAAGGAAGAAAAGTCCCTATCCTGTTGACCTTGCTGCGGTGACTTCACCAGGAAAGCAGCTCGCTGTGCAGCGCTCCCCACCCAGCTCCGGGCGCACCCTGGGCACACTTCCCGGCTGCGCCCGGAGGGTGCCGCTGCCGCCCAGCCTCGCGCATCGCTGCCCGCGGCTTACCGCGGCCTTGGGGGCCCCGCGGGGCGCAAGCTCGGTAGGAGGCGCCCCGGGCCGGGCCGGGT